TCAGCACAGACACCTTACAGCCACCGAGAACCCCGAGTGGTGCTGCCCCACCGCCAGCCCGGGTGGACATGGCAGGTGCCCGCCCCTGGGCCTCGGACAGGTCCAGGGCCCCATTCCCCGCCAGAGAGCTCCTTCCTGGGCGCCTGTGGGGGGTGGGTCGCCCCGTCATTGGGCAGCCCTGGGGGTCCCCCTTCACCCCACAGGCCGTCACAGGAGGCTGTGGTCAGGGCACAAGGTGACCTGGTAACCAGGTGAATGGGAGACAGAGACAGCCACACAGGTGGCCAAGCAGGACCGTTTCTGGGGCCAGAGCCTCCTCACCCACGGCAGCCGTTAGTGGGGCGTCTTCAGAGCCTGGTCCTCAGGCTCAGGCCAGCGTGGGCCCGGCTGGGCCACCAGAACCTGTTCCCTACGTGTCAGCCAGGAAGATGGTCTCCCGTGTTCACAGCCACTGCCCTGGGCCTCCAGGGTGCCCAGGGAGCACGAGGGGCCTGGGTGACCTCGGGACCCGGTGTGGACCTGCCTTGGCCCCACCATACCCTCTATACTTTGTGGGACCCTCAGGAAGGTCCCGGGGGCTCTGCAGCCTCTGAAAGGCCGTCTCCCCGCACCTCACCCAACTCACTCTGCCTGGGCCTCCCACTCCTGTCCCAGCTGCCTTCCTGGAGGCAGGGCCACACCCTCCACAGGAGGGAGGGAGCTGCAGGTCTGAGGGGTCACTGCTCTGGTCTCACGGTTCAGACAGTAGTGACCTCTAACCCCAGGAGGGCGGCACGCAGCTGCGTGATGAGGAGCCCGACCCTGGGAAGGAAGCCGAGTGGGCCATGTCCGTCCAGCAGTGCCTGTCCCACCCCAGGGATGGTTGGTGCAGACCCCCTGGGGTACACTCCCACCCCAGGTCAGACCCTGGGACACCGTGGCCGTGATGGGCGGAGGGTGCTAGGCCTCGTCCCATCGCATGGCTGTCGAGGTGCCATCGGGTGGTCCCCCAGCTCAGGGATTCCGCCCCCAACAGGTGGCCCTGACCAGGCCCAAGCCCCAGCCTCTGCACTACTCCCAGACGCATGGCCAGACTTGGGTCTGACACCCTTCCTGGGCCCGGGGTGCTGGTCCCCAGGCCTGGTGCCGCCCATGAGGGACACCCCCAATGTGTGCACGCTCCCAGCCTCTCTTGGAAACGGTCCCCGAGCGTCTGCACGCGAGGGCAGCTCCTGGCCCAGGGGCGAGCAGGGGCCACACAGGCCACCACCACCTCTGGGGCCGCCACAGGCAGAGCCCCTAGTGCCCCACGGCTTCGCACGGCCAGTGGTAACTGAGCACTGGCTCGAGGACCCGGGAGGAAGGTGTGGCTCTGCCCCCCACCTGGTGCGCTCTGAGTGGAAAGCCACGCTGGGGTCTCACTCGAGTGTTTATTTTGGTGATGGGCCGTGGTGTGGTGACTACAGTGTCAGGAAGGGGCTGGGCAGGGCTGATGGTCGGGCAGGCATCGTCCTGCCCAGCGGCCCCCATGCTTGTGGCCAAGACAGCAGCAGGCGGCCCAGTGACCACGGCAGACAGGCTCCTGCCCTCCCTTCCAGTAGGGGCTCCAGGCAAGGTCCCGGGTCCCTGGTTCCTGGGCTCCCGGCTCCTCTAAGCAGGGAGGCTGCACAGCGTGGCCCCAGCTCAGCTGTGGGAGGCGGCAGCCAGTGCACTGGGCTCCCCGCAGGGCTCAGGACCTCTTCATGGTGTGGTTTGATGAGGAGCACGTGTCTATGGAGACTGTGCAGGGAGGGGTGATGCCAACCGTCTGTTGCTAGACAGAGCGCCGCCGCAGCCCTGGAGCAGGCACAGGAGCAGGGGCGAGGCAGGGAGGTGGGGTTCAGCCCTGCAGGTGCCGCAGCTCGGGCGGCAGGTCGCACCCGGTGTACGCACCATTGGTGATGCTGTATTCCAGCAATGCGCCGAAGCAGGGGTCCTGGGGGGACACAGAAGGGGGCCTTAGAGCGGGCAGGGCGGACAGCCCCCACCGCTCCCCAGGCCCCTCCTCAGGGGAGTCCTGCCTGAGGGCGGCAGCTCACCCTGACCAGGACGTAGGGGTTTCCCAGCACGATCAGCAGGGCTTTGGGCCTGGTGACGGCCACATTGAACCGCTTTGAGTTGGACAAGAAACCCAGGAAATACCTATCGTCTTCGAACCGGTCTTCGTTCGACCGCACCTGGAAGCACAAAGGCAGAGAAAAAGGTGTTTCAAGTTTCCGGCATGGAAAGAACTCTCGACATATGAAAACATTGAACACAGAAACGTCGTCAGTAGGACCTCATTTTTGGTTAAAAGAGAAAAAAGCAGCCCTGGCTGACATGGCTCAGTGGTTAGAGCATCGGCCTATACACTGGAGGGTCTCGGGTTCGATTCTGGTCAAGGGCATGTACTTGGGCTGCAGGTCCGATCCCCACCCCCGGTCAGGGTGCATGGGGGAGGCAACCTATCGATGTGTCTGTCAGTCACATCAGTGTTTCTCTCCCACCCCCCCCCCCCACTGCCCTTCCCTTCCATTCTCTAAAAAAAATCAGTGGGGAAAAAATATCCAAGCCCTGACCAGTGTGGCTCAGTGGATAGAGCGTCAGCCTGCGGACTGAAGGGTCCTGGGTTCGATTCCAGTCAAGGGCATGTACCTTGGCTGCGGGCACATCCCCAGTAGAGGGTGTGCAGGAGGCAGCTGATCGATGTTTCTCTCTCATCGATGTTTCTAACTCTCTATCCCTTTCCCTTCCTCTCTGTAAAAAGTCAATAAAATATATATTTTAAAAAATCCAAATATCCTCACTCCTTGGATGAGGGTTAAAAAAAGGGAAAAAGCAGCAGGGGGTGGGGGAGGAGCCTCACTGCCCTCTGTCTGCACAACATGGGCCCAAGCCTATGGGTTCAGCACAGAGTGTCGGGGTGACTCCGGGTGTCGGCGTGACTCCGGGAGTCGGGGTGACTCCGGGTGTCGGGGTGATGGTGGTTCTTTTCCCGATTCTCTAGGGCCCCCCAGGAACAGGGCACCTACGGTTGAGATGATGATCACCAAATGCTCTTGCCCTTGGAACTCCTCTACTGATCCAACCTTTATGTCCATCAGATCCACGTTTCTCAAAAGAATTTTTATTTTCTCCACCTTTGAAGCAGGTAAAAAAGATTAAAGACACAATTTTACAAAGCTGCCCACTTCTCCCCACACTGCCGCAGAAGGCAATGCTGACAGCGCGCAGTGAGGCTTCTCCATCCCAATCGTATGTCACCCGACCAGGGCTGGGCTCAGCGCCCGTTTCTACGGAGGTGAGGGCACGCCGCCCTGTGGGGCCCTCCCCGGCCTGAGCCTTCACCAAACCTGTGGCCTGGAGACGGGCGGCGTGCCCTCCTCTGTGGCAGCGTCACAAGCAGCCAGGAGGAGGACAAACGCTGTGACGAGTGGCCATGGAGCCAGGAGAAGGCGAGCTCGCCCTCAGGAGCGGGAACGGCCGAGTCGAGCCGCGAGACTCGGGACGAAGTGGGTTCCAGATGTCTGGAGACGAGGTCTCCAATGGGTGTTGGAAAAAAAGGCCCCATTTGAAATCTTGGAAGGATGAGTGTTTGAAAGAAAACTCGATGGCAGGCGACTCCTCCCCAGGACTCTGGAGCGGTGCTGAGGGGGCAGGCACGGGAGGGTCCGAGAGCACGAGGGGACACCCGAGAGCCCGCCCGGAGGGCCTGCAGGGGAGGAGCCGCACAGATGCTGTGGGGAGACTGTCCCCACGGAGAACAAGGGAGTGTTCACCGGGTGGAAAGCAGGCAGCTAGCAGGTGTCCTGGCAGCGCATCTGCTGCAGGACAAAGGTTAGCCCTTCCCACACCTGCCGGCAGGCGGCTAGGTCAGGCGGAGGCGGTCAGTGCCGTGTCTGCCACGCACCGGCCTCTGCTGAGACGACGACGGGAAGACAAACCTCAGGAGACAGAAGCGCAGAGACCAGTGGTGCAGGCGGCACAGGTAAGAGACCCAACTCCAAAGCCATCGGCATGCTGACCAATTGTCCCAAGAAGAAACACGTGTTTTGATAAAAGGTGGGATTTCTAAAACTCACCAGAAAGAGCACAAAGGGAAGAACCGGGGGTGGGGCCGGTCTGAAGGCTCACCATGAGGGACTCAGCCCAGATGTCAGCTCAGCCCGAGCCCCAGCAGCCAGGCTGGCGGTCCTGGGGGGCGGCGGGGGACCGCGAGGGAGGTGGAGCCCAGGTGTGCACATGGGAGCCGTGTGTGCAGCAGGGACACACACCACACAGACCAAAGTCAGAGAGATCCTTGCCATGACCACCCAACACAACGCAGAGGGCTGAACCTCCAGAACAAAGTGGGAAAACACCTCACATCACGACAGGGAAGGGTTTCTTAGACAAAAAACAAACAGCACAGACCACAAAGGGAACGGTCCCCATGTCCCATGTGCATGTGACTACATGGAAAGAACACACACGCCCACACATGGAGGGAACCAGGGACAAGGCCTGGCTGAGACGGTATCTGGAACACTCGACCACCAAGGGCCCGGGTGCAGAAATAATGCTGACTCAGCATAACCTGCAGACACCACCTCAGAGCAACAGAAGGGACACTGGATTCAAACAGGGCTTTAAAAACCCTCACCGGAGGATATGTTTTATCTATTTTTAAATAAATACATATTTTTTTATTGATTTCAGAAAAGGAGAGAGAGGGATAGAAACATCCATGAGAGAAAACCATAGATTGCTGCCTCCTGCACGCCCCCCACTGGGGCTCGAGCCCACAACCCAGGCCTGTACCCTGACCAGAATAGAACTGTGACCTCCTGGTTCACAGATAGATGCTCAACCACTGAGCCACACCGGCCGGGCTGTTTTATTGATTTTAGAGAGAGAAGAAGGTGGAGAGGGGAGGGGAACAGGCAGGGAGGGGGAGAAAGGGAGAGGGAGAAACAACAGTTGCCTCCTGTATGTGCCCAAACCAGGGATTGAACCCTCAACCTAGGTATACGCCTGACTGGGAATCAACCCTATGACCCTTGTGGTGACGGGACCTTGTCTGACTGAGCCACCTGACCAGGCTAAACAGGAATTTTGACGACACATTATGGCCAGTAAACACATGAAAAGACTAGAAGCACAACGTGCGAAATTGCATGGCCCCGCCCAACCCATGCGCGCCTCACCACGCTCACAGCCCCGCCCGCCCGTGCCAGCCACAGGCCTTTATAACAGATTCTCAAGTCCCTGACCACCCCAGGGGAACCCTCTTCCCCACTCAGGCAGCTGCAGGTGTGGGCACCGTGGGATTTGCAGACACGGGAGATGGGAGACCAGGGTGGGCCCAGGGCAGATGGAGGACGTGCACAGTGAGTACAGGGGTGACAACTTCACACTGGGACAGGAGAGCATGGAGGCAGGCTCACCCAGGTGCCTGCACACCCAGCCCCAGGACCCGGGTGTGGAAGGCCAGGGGAGTCCCGCAGGTGCCACGTGACAAGCTCGTGTCCTGTTCCTGCGTGGCCCCCGCGGACAGGAAGCACCGAGCGGCGGGGGCGGGGCCCACCTGCTTGCGGTAGGGCGTGATCACGCCGATGTCCTGCGCGGACACCTGGCTGCAGAGGCTCCGGGCCAGGAGGCAGCTGTAGCGCATGACCTGCACGGCCTCGGCCGGGTTGAACCAGGACGGGCTCCTCCCTTCCCGCGCTTCGCTGCCCTGTCAGGTTGGGAGACAAGAGACAGGGCGTCACGAGGCCTCGTTTACCAGCTACACTCGTTAAGGGCCGTGAACGGGGAGCCGAGCAGGCGCTGGGACAGGCAGAGGTGAGGGGCCTGGCTACGGAACCGGAACCGGCTCAGCTGCAGTGAGGCCCCAGGACGGGGGCGTGAGGAGGGCAGTGTCCCGTGAGGATGGTGACGGGGGTGGGGGCGGGGGTGCACATGCCAGTGGGGAACAGAGCCCGGGAGCCAGGATGGCTGAGGTGGCAGTGACCAGTGTGGTCAGTGTGGGAGCCCCTCGCTCTGGCTGCCCCCCTCCTGTGGACGGTGCGCCCTCCTCTCTCCGGCCAGCAGGGAAGACAGGAGGATGACCAGCGCACAGGCCATCACTGAGGTTCAAGGAAATGCAAACCCAAACCTCAGGGCCCGCCACGCCCACCAGGACGGCCACAACTAAAGACAGACACGGTGCTGGGCGCCCAGCGTGAGGTGGTGCAGCCGCTGTGGAGAACGTGTGCAGGCCTTCAGAACCCGGAAGCAGAGTTCCCCTCTGGCTCAGGCGTTCACCTCAGGCATTCACCCACAGGAAGAGAATTAACTCCGGGACCCAGGCAAGTAGATGTGGGAGCAGCCTGAGCGTCCATGCAACGTGGGAAGCACACGCGGCCCGAGCACCCAATGGGAGACACCACGAGGCACATGCCCGTGGCCTGAGGGCTCGGAGCAGACGCAGGGGTGATGGGGGCACCGGGGCAGGGGGGGTGAGGGTCAGTGGGACAGTGTCCGTCCGGGAAGATGGAGAGGT